GGTTCATGGGGTCACAAAGAGTCGGACACGACTTAACGACTGAACAACAACAACAACAATGATGCAATTTACTGTGGCACATGAAGGCAAATTACAAAACAGGTCTATTTTGTAATGTGTAAAACAGGCTGATTCAAACACAGAGGACTGTTTTTGATCCCTGTCTGTCTGTATTGGGACAGTGTTCTCTGTGGCAGTGGCAACAAGAGGGTTTTGTGCAGTAGTGATTCAGAAATAAGATCTTCTACATGAGAAATAAATGCAACAGTCCTGCCCTGACTTATATAAAAGGGAAAATATTTTAGAATCTTGGTGATGCTGATATGTTGTGGATATTGCTTTAAGACTATAATTTAAGTACATTCAACACTCACCAAGAATGTGCGTAGGGACTACTAGGAATAAGAACCACTGGACAAAGTGGGTTAGAGGTAATTTTTCAGTGAGCCATCAGTTACTGTGATGAAAATAAGCACAGGGTGCTTTGCTTGTGCAATCCCCCTTGCATCTCCTCCAGCATGGAAGGCCTTTTCTGAAGAAAGATGCATAACATTTTGTTGCAAAGTGTTGCAAATGTGATTCTGTCATTCATATTGGCAAAAACCTTGTTAATGCAGGTCCTGATCCTATAGTAATAGAATGAAGTTTTTTTTTAAAAAAAAAGTGCACATATGTATTCATCTCACAGCTCCCATGAAAAATACATATTTTCTCTTTCTCTTTTAAGGGGAATTGTCAAGATTTTGGTTAAAGAGGGAGGGAGGAATAGCCTTTCTCTTACTTCTGCTTTCTTCTTGGGTGGAGGGGGAGGGAATGATCATACCTAGATTGGCAATAGAGCACATGACTCATGTCCAAAAGGTTCAAGCACCAGCACTAATAACTAAAAAAAGATCTGAGGAAAAAGACCCAATTCTCTCTGAGTTTCTGGAGAGCTGCTATTAATCAAGTACAGGCTGTAATGAATTAGTTATTAGTAGGTGGCAGACAAATCTCATAAACAAATAAATAAAGATCACTGGCCTGATTCAGTAGACTATATATCTTTTCTTCCCTTTTTCATGGGTGCTCCTTAGTACAATTGTAGCGCTCTCTTTTTCAATAACTAAGAATTACTTACCAAATCATTAGTAATTAAATGAACAAAATGAAGATGCATGCATTTATTTCCTAAATTTATGCCCTTGATTTCCACCAAATGATGGCACTTATGTCCATTATAGATTAGTCAATTAATTAGACAGAAAGTTGCAAGTGTGTGAACAATTTGGAGGTGGGGAGGATGGGGGTTGCTCACAGTCTTAATGATGGCCCTAGGATTCCATGTGAGGCTCAGCTTATTTTCAACAGTAATTTGCAAGCTGAGAATTCAGACCTCTGCAAAAATTATTGGTACATTCACAGGCTAGGCTGCTGGCTGTGTGAGGTGATAGACAGAAAGATCCTTTCACAAAATGAGAAAGGGAGAAGGAAGAAAAGACAGAAAATATGTGCCAGAAAGAGACTTTTAACTCATTCATTTCTGGCTCTGTCCACCCACCTCTAGCTTCAGAAGATTTCTGCCGGAATATAGGCATTTGCAAGAAAAAATAATGCCTATCCCTGACGTATTGAGTGGTCAATAATATCTTCTTCTACCAAATGGCACCAAATGCTGGGCTCTTCCGAAAGATACATTGCTTGAGGAAATCTTTAATATTTATATTAATATTTAATTAACTATCAGCCAACTGGCAAAGTAAGCCACCTTGTCCATTTCTCTCTGTTTTTTCCCTAGCCATAATGAAAGACAGAACACTTTTCTTCATCCAGTGACTGGCCAGATCCCAGAAAAGAACAACCATTTGGATTTGCAAAGGTTGGTGGTTTTTAGTGTCCTGTGATCTTGGACATAAAGTGGAGGTTCATGAAAGAACATAGGGAACAAAATTCAAGGGTTAAATGTACCAGATGAAAGAAAATAGGCCCTCAGTTGTTCCAAAAGTCCAGCTGAAGGGGGGGGGGAGCAGGGATTTGCACAATGGAGATTTGTATTTTATCTGACTTGATGTATTTCTGGTTTAAGTTAATGTTAACCCCAGATCAACATATAGACATGTGTTTCTGGTGTGGAAATATAAGAAACAAAGTTAGTTCCTTGGGACTGTTAATAATATATTTTTCCTCTCCTTTGCCTGCAATCCCAGATCTATCTTGGACATGTCAAGCAAAGCAAGTAGCAAGCGGCCGGCAGCAGTTAGTAGTGAATCCGCCAATCACACAATGGTTTCAGAGGTGCCTCAGGAACGACCAAATGGCAGGGTATGTTTGCTACATTCTGCATTGTGGCCTTGCTTATTTTCCTCTCTGTGGCTCTGTTATGATAGGACATGTTGCCCAAGCTCTCTGGCTGTCAGGTTTTCCCATCTGAAAAATAGGGTGCAACTGACCTGCCACTGTGAAATTCTGGGCATTATAGAACAAACCTACCATGTTATTGCTCATTGTTTAAAATCATTTTTGTTCTTATTCCACTTCATCTTGCTGTCCATGGAGAGCTGGTTGGCACTGGAATTTCTTAGCATAAATGGCATATGTGTAAAAAATCCACCTCCCAGAAATTAGGCATCTTTTTTTAATAACAGATGTCATAGCCAGCATGTGACTGCCATGTGGCCAAGATTATGAGTTTGATCCAGATTTAGTCATAACTAGAATGGACCTGCTGCTACTCAGTCAGACTTCAGTTAGTCATGCCTTATTGATTTCAGTATGTCTGCTCTAATATTTATTTGACAAATTTGTACCTCACCACAGTTCCAAAGGAGTTCTCAGTTGTTCATAGTAATACAAATCAATTAAAATGTCAAATTAAAACTAATATAAAGCATATAAGAAGAATAAAAACCACTCAGCAGCCATCAGACTTAATATGATTAAGTAGGATTTCATTATATTACCTGCTGCTTGTTTTGCCTTTCAAAACTTTTCTGTTTTATTTCCCAAAGGCATCACGTACTTCCAGGAAGGGAATTGCTTTTGGAAAACGTTCTAATTCCATGAAGAGGAATCCCAGTGCTGCAGTGACCAAAAATGGTTGGCTCTTCAAGCAGGTAAACCACCTGTCCTTTTCAGAGGGACCCTGATACATTTTCAGAGAAGATTCTTCAGGAGTAGACTACCCAGAGCCCCTGAGCAAACATTTTGAAGGTCCCAAAACCAACTCCTGATTCTGTTGGTAAAATTAGATCACACAATTTAATGCTGGAATTCTTTTGCAACATGTTCCACATCACCACACAATTAAATAGCTATTTGGGGGGGTTCCGTTTTTTTTTTTCTGGACTGCCCACTTTGACATCACAGCCATGCCCACTAAAGCATCTTTGGCCCCACCCAAAGTGACCTTCATCTACCAAAACTACAGCAAATGTTGCTTCCGTGTGCTAAAAGGTTGCCCATCTCTGCACGAGCTTCTCCTATTTTCTCTCCAATATCACAGTTCAGCCTTCATGTCTGAGGATAGGCAAGGAAGTGCTTCTCCATCCACTACTTGGTTTTCCTTATAACTCTACTGAGCAAGCAAATGAATTCAAACCCATTGACCCGTTCAACTAATCCACCCATCAAGGATATATTATTTATATACACTCCATAGTTTTGAACTATGTCATGCTTGGATTGTCAATATTGGGATTGCTATGCAACTGGTCAAGATCTCTGCATGTCTTCAAAGGATTATTTTCTGGAGCTAAGGCACCTTATCATGGCATTTCCCTCCCACTCACACTAGAGGCAGGGCTTAGAGTAGGTCTGATATTGCTTCCTGTGGAAGGGGATAGCTTCATCCCCAGTTTTGGTTCTGCCTTGTTACAAAGAGTTTGTGAACCTGTCAGTTCTGCCATGGACTCCCTTAATCTATGGTTCTCTCTTTTTCTGTTTGTATTTATTTTTTTCCATTTCTTTTTTATTACTGATCTTCCCTAACATTTAAGACAAGGAGTGGTATCACCTGTAATGTCAGAGGACCTCTCCAGTGTCTGGGGGTGAGCCAGGGGATGGCCTCCAGTGGCATATCAATGTTCCTTGTATCTTTCTACTATTTGCATTCAAATCATGGAGTCTCTGATCATCACCAGACCTGCTGAGACACTGGGGATTCAATCATCCAGACCCCACCTGGTTGCAATTGTATATCTGGAGATCGAATAGGACTATTTCATCAGGTGTAGACAGTAAGGAAGATGACTCTGATGGAAATATGCATGAACTGTTACCTGTGTAAAATGGACTGAAACATTTTTTTAAGTCCAGTATGAAGAGAGAACATTCAGAAGTACTGTAGCTCAAGCATATGCTTCCTTAGTTCACTGGAGTATAAAAAGGAGATACAGCACAATCAGATTTGCAAGATTCTGTTATAAGCCAATAAAAGTAGTTTTAGTCTTTCCATGGAGTTGATTTCCTTGTCTGGTCTACCTAGTGGGGATGATCCCTGCTTAGGATTTGGTAGCAAAACCACACAGATAACATCCTAGCATCCAAAAGAACTCCCACCATTTATAAATATGCATTCATATGGTAAGACTTCTGATAATGGCCAAAAAGAGAGGTAACCCTAGTGATGTCAACTTCCACCCCCAAGTCTTGGCCTTCCTTCAGGTGGGCATTGACAAGGGATTATTACCAACACCCTCCATAGACAGTTACGAGCACTGTCCTTAATCCTAACAGTGGAGAACCAAGAACCTCTCATCCTAATATCTTCTCAGGAGATTCTTAAGAGGGGCTTCTCTGCAAAGACTGCCCAACCTTGTTGACCAATATTCATCATGAACCTCCTATTAGTGCTTCAAGCCCTGTCCCAGTGTGAAGCATCTGTAAAACACCTAACATGGAGAGCAGTATTTATAATAGTTATCATTTCAGTTAGACAAGCATTGGAAACAGGAGTGCTCTTCCAAGAAGGACTTCTGCATCACCCAGTCAGATTTTGTGTCTAAGCCCAGCCTTTTGCCCAAAGTGAATACAGTTTTCTTTCAGGGCCCAGGAGGTAATCTTCCCATTCTTCTACCCTAACTCCAAAACCTAACTGGGGAAAGTAGGCACCAACTAAACATCAGACAAGCCATCAAGAGCTACCTGAGTAGAACAGAGGAGTCCAGAACCTTAGATTACTTCATAGCATCTTTTTGACAACCTTCTGTGTTACAAAGCCTCACTAACCACTCTTTCCAGATGGATCAAATAATGCCCCACAGGACAACTGGGCAACTAATAAGCTCCTAGGATACTTCTGTAGGGTGAGCACATGGTCCTCCATGTTCTCTTGCATTAAAGCTGAACTTTATGCCTTGGCCAAAGCATCCTTTCTAGCAACCCCCACTCCAAATATATGAGGGACAGCTCTGGTGTATTCTACTATAGGGTACCCTGGCTCCACTGTGGAAAATGATACATTGAAATTGGAGAAGATCCCATTTCTACAGTGAAGAAAGGGCATTCAGTTCACCCATCTATTATGGGAAGGAGGGAATATTTACAGAAAACTGCACATCACACACCCTTTATTTCTTCCTTCTCAAGTGTCTTTTTTCCTGAGCTTTCTTTCTGACCTGGCATTCTGAAACTGGGGATCAAAGTATTCCCTCTCACAGGAAGTAACTTCAGAATTAATTTAAACCCTGCTTCCACAACAAGTGGGTGGGAGATACTCTATTTTAGAAGATGGATCTTAATGGTAAATCCAGTGTACCAGTTCTTGTCACACCCTCGCTAGAATCCCCCAAAATTCCATTGCTTTGCCTGACCTTCGCCTGTCATGCCCTTTTCTCATAGGGTGCTTTTTCAATCTATGCTGTATGTAGTATGACATTTATTTGCTTTCAACAACTCTTTACAGGCCAGCTCTGGAGTCAAGCAGTGGAATAAGCGTTGGTTTGTATTGGTGGATCGCTGCCTTTTTTACTACAAAGGTATGAAGAGAAGCAAATCTAAAATGAAATATTATACAAAGTTATAAATAAACTCCCAGATGCTAAAAATAGTTTGAAAGCAATGGCAGGAATGTGTGCCTTCCTTTCCTGTACAACCTATGAAACAGGATTCTCACCTGCACACCTGCTATTGAGGAACAGCACTGCTCTCACAGGAGAGATTGATTTCTTTTGTGATATACAAGGGAAGCAATATTTTCATGGGATGAAAACTACAGTTCCTAATCTAAAAAGAAAAAGAAAAAAGCAATATTTAGAATGTCAAGGCATCTGAAATGGCATAGATAGTTATGAGAGTGGCTCATGCTTTAAACTCTAGGATTACCAGTGTAGCGAGGTTTACGAAAGACAATATTTCTTCACAAAGTATGTAGTTGAGATATGCCATTCGATACCATGAGATGTAATAATAGCTGTCAACTGGATGGCTGTAAAAGGAGACCACACCACTCCTTTGATGATAGTTGTAGAGGACAGGCTATAGTTCTAATAGTTAAGTATTGTCTCCATTATCAGAAACAGTGTACTTCTGAGTGCCAAGGAAGTACAAGTGAATAGGTACTACTGAATTTACATCCCAGCTGGCTTCTGGCAGGTACCTGGTTGGCCACTGTGGGGACAGAATCCTGGATGAGATAGCCCTTTGATCTGCTCCAGCAGGATTCTTGTTTTTGTAATATCATAACACAATAAAAAATGTAATGCTAACTCTTTCTGGTCAAATAATGTAGTTTTCCAGCAACAGCACAGGGGGATTCTCTCAGATGAGTGATGACATTTGTCCCTTCCTTCCTTCCTTCCTTCCTTCCTTCCTT